TTTACTTATTGAAAATGGCTAAAGCCAACCGTTGAGGAGATATTTTTAATTTCATAAATTAGTGTTACGGATTTATACCTCCACGAATACCAAGGTACAAACAGACACTTTTGTTAATAAATTCAGAACGCATTGCCTCACAGTACTTATTAGTTGTGTATCTGTATTTTAAAATTCGACCAAAAGAGGGAGCAGGAATCAAGTGAGACAACATTATTTTTCGTATTTTAAATTTACTATACTCTTTTTGCCCCTTATTTGAGCATGTGTGAATACACTTGTTGCATAATTTCTATTTAATTGTTTTTTCGGTGTCTTTATTAAAAAACACATTTTCTTGTGCATGAGAAATTATTTATACCCTGCATTAAAGAAATCTCATATGAAATAACAGTTCAGATGAAAAAATATTGCAAAATACTTATTTATTGTTAGTTTAATAATATTTATTAGGAAAAAGAGCAAAACAACTAAAACCAAAAGTCACTTAACAACAGTCAATAGATAATTTAAGAGAAACAATTGGCTGACAATATAAAAAAACAAGATTTTTGAAGGATATTTTCGAGATAATTTCCATTTTCCTGTAAGCATAGTCTAATTCTATGATTAAAATTACGACGAACACTTGAATATGTATGTCATTCTTTACTTCCTCAGCTGCTGCAAAAATTCTTTGACAAAGCATCTCCATACTATCAATAAGGATGGAATAAACAACATTTTTTAAGTGGCCCCATAAAAACTAGTCCTTGGGTGTGAGATCCGGTGATCGCGCAGGCCATTTGACTAGTGCAGCGTTCCCTCGACCTATCCATCTCCCAGGAAAATTTAAATTTAACCATTGTCTAACAGCTTATGTACAATAAGGAGGAGCTCCGTCATATGCGTAGCACATGTTTTCACGGATAGCATAGGTACGTCTTCAAGCAATATTGGAAGTTGCTCATTTAAAAATCTCAAATATTCTTGATATCTGGCATGATAAACTCGTACATCAGCAGCACAGTTCTTGTAACATTCAAAAAATACTTGCAACATATCGACATACTCCTTATTAGTATACATAATTTGTTATTTTATTCAATTCAAAAACAATTTACTATCTAGGTCGCAGGTAAAAAGTGACTAAAATCAATTAACACTTTAAATTAATACTTCAAAATTGCAATTTACAAGTATTTTCAACAGACATTTACCTACTCGATTTTTTATTTATTTAAGCAACCTTGATATTTGTGGAGGTATAAATCCATAACACTAATTTATGAATTAAAAATATCTCCTCAACGGTTGGCTTTAGCCATTTTCAATAAGTATAAATTTTTTTTTCGAAATAGTCCAATATTTCATATTTTGTTGCTAAAAGCTGTATACGGGGGTTGCCAAAAAAGTTACTACATACTTAATGCATAGCATTGCCTGCAGAGGGCGCCTCGTACTCGACACTCAAAAATCATTATTATATTATTTTTGCCATCACTAAAAAAACTCTAGAAAAATTATAGAAATTATTAAGGAAAAACCATTTTTTATTTTTCAGTTTGACACCCTGTATCTTTTTTATTATACGACTTGGGATATAGGTATGTTAGGTTAAATCGACTTATTTTCACCCAAGGAATCTATGGCATCATTTGTGAATCTCCATTTAAATACATGCTGTATATATATATATATATA